GCTTTGGTCACTCAGAACATGTCGATCTGGGTGCGGAGTGCGGGTGCGATGATGACGACATTTGTGATGCGGTGGTGGTTGGTGGGATGGTGCTGCATTGTGTGTATGTGTGCATGTTTTCGGGGCTCATGAAGGTTACCGGTAGGGGATGAGAGGGCGTGGAATAGGCGGGGGATAGGGCGGCTGTGTGTGAGACTGGAGGTGTGTTGGTGTTGGTGGGTGGTATTGGAGGTTGAGGTGTGTGAGGATGGTATATGGTTGCGTAGGGTGGGTGGTTCCAGGTTGTGTGGTTGTGTAATGTGAGGGTGTTGTGGGATACTTTGGGATGGATGAGTGGGATGTGATTGGGGGATTGAGTTTGTGATTTAAGATTACGAGTGGTGTGACTTTGTGAGGGGTTGGGTTGGGTGCGAGATGACGGTGCGAGATGCTGTGTATATCAATCATGCCCTCGCGATGCACAAACACTGTAGGTAGTCAAGCGATAACGCTGGTTAGTTGCGACCGAGTGCATTGAGATGAGTGGTTGGGCATGTAGTCATTATGATCATCATGACGTGCTTTCTAATGGAAGCGTATAATAGTAGAGTATAATGATAGATTTGAGTTAGCTATGTACATGAAATTAAGATTCTGATCAGTGTCGCTTTTGGTAAGTCTAGTGTCGTTCTATACCTCGGTCTGCCATTAAACACCCGCTCAAAGGTAAATGTAGCACATGGGCCCCTCAGTCGTTGACATCAGATCCGCCATTGTTTTCGGCGGACCGGCAGCGAACCCAAGGTCAATGGGAGTGCTGAGCGTGGTATTGGGAGAGGGTGGTGTGTTGAGAAAAGTGTTTGTGCCGGAGATACCAGCCGAACTGGTGCGTGTCTTGCGGTCAAGCTGTTGCCAGATCCACCAGACGCGGTCGATCATACCATGATGCAGGTAGAAGAGAGGATCGCCGGGAGAGGTGAACATGTCACGGCCAGGGTCGCCACCCATTGCGAAATGGCCTACATCCAGAGTCAGCAATTCAGTTCCGAAAAATTGGGGGAAAAGTGTTCCACTTACCACCACCGTGTACACCAATGTTACCCGAGCCCGGAATACCCTGCATGATCATCTGGAAGCTCTCGATATCCTTGTTCTGCAAGATCAAGCTTGTGACACTAGTGGCATCTGCGAACTTCTTGTTGATCCAATCTGTCAAGTCACGCTTGAGGCATCTGGGGTTATACGACAGCCCATCACCGTTTGATTCGGTGGTACCATCAGTGAGGGACAATGCAACTGGGCCTAGGTTGACCGTCATATTCTTAAACGGTCCACTCTTCACACAACCACCTCCAGTGCCTGGAGGTAGCGTAAGGTCAGGCAGCCCATTGCCACCAAGGATGACGTTTCCACGATTAGGAATGAACTCTCCGTTGCCTGACATGGACGTAGGAGAGCCATCGAGAATAGGTGACCTTTCTAACCCTGTCGCGGCAGTCTTGGCCCAGTTCCAGTATGGCTGGTAGCCTCTGTAGCCGCACTCATTGCGAAGGGCCTGCTCGTAATGCCATACAAAGTAACGGTGCCATGCAAGGAAGGTACCGGTGTAGTGGATTATGAGAGTCTGGTTGATGTGTGTACCGAGGAAGTCATCGAACCGTGTTTTGGCACCAGGGATGAGTGAGGCAGGTGTCTTGGCCGGTTTTGATTGCAGGCAAAGAACAGCATCTATGTATGCCTTGCGCTCAGGCCTGGAAAGAGCGCCCCATTCTCGGCGTACAGCGACATTGAAGATGTTGCAGCTGCCTCGCTTGGGTGAGTTTGCTTTCAACGTGGCATTCGCTTCTTGCTGGGCGAACTCGGCCAATTTGGCTAGTTGGTGGCCGGCCTCTGAAGGATTGGATGAGGCCTCGGTGGGTAGATCTGAGTGCTCGATTGTCGAATTCGAAGCATCCTGAGGGGCGGGCAATGCGTTTGAAAGCGTACCGGCCAGCAGGGTCAACGCAAGTGAGGTGCTGAAACGCATTCTGGGGCTTGCACCAGTGGACAAAGGTAGACGTATAAAGACAACCTATACCGAGAATGGGCAGCGATACAGGAAATTCTATACTCTGAAACACGAGCGAGAAGTACAAGAAAGTTTGATGATGATCACCAAGAGATGGAAAGTTGCCTGCGTATAAATGAAAAACAACAAGCTTGAAAAGTACGACCCGCACTGATCAGAGACTCTTGTCCAAATGCCATGTCCCATGATATTGCAGCGGCGTACCATGCTCGAATCTGCTTGGTAATAAACAGGGGACAGCCTGGCCCTGGAGGCAGATGTGATTACGCGAAGCGAAGACCGAGGGTCGTGTTGCCTCGACTGGCATACGCAGCTAACAAAGGCAGGTTGAGAAGAAGAAGGCATCCTTAGGCCAATAGGAAAGAAAGTGGTGCCTGTGTGATGGCCCATCCTTTGCCGTAGACGGACGAGCTGTTCGGGACGACAGGATGAAGTTGCCTTGGCGAAACTAGCGACAACCGACGGATCCCGCTACCGCTACCGTACCGGTACCCATTAGACGCAACACTCCCCAGCTATTGGATGCATAACATTCACACATGGCCGTGGTCATGACATTGCAGCAACCGGGCTCAAGGGTACCGACGGAGGAATACTATGGCCTCTTCCCTAATCAGATCAACGCCGTGGCAGGTTCAGTCAGGAGCTTCGAGCTTGCTTACTCGCCCACACCCACGACAATCGGTCAAGCACAGCTCCAGCACGTGAAGAGAAGACAGTTCCTCCGGCGCCAAGGTAGCTTCACTGTCCGTCGTGTTTCTCTACAGACATGGTCGGGCAGTAGACTACCGTACGCTTTGCTCAGTGGTGGTCACCATGTCGATCCCCACCGTGTTCAAGTTAGCAGAGATGAGGAAGGATGCCGACTGAGATCTGTGGCTGGGTCGGGCGCGATTGCGATGGCACAACACGTGGGTGAGCCATTCCAGCACACGAGATCATCACGAGAGGGACCAAACTGCTCATCGTCAGGGAACCGTCGCCGTCGTACCGACTTGTACATGTGGGACAAGCTAGGACCCGTAGGTAAAGCTTGCACATTAGGTATTCGATCAGCAGAACCTCATGATCGAACAGCTTCAACCTTCTCCACATCAATACAATTGCTTGCCGAATCAGAACAGCTACGAAACCCTTCTGGTGTCGTGTGTCCGACTGCGACCATCACCTTATTGCAAGGGCAATTTATCCTAGCGACCGCGGACATTTCGCATACATGCTGAAGGATTCATCGAATTTCTTCTTTTGAGTAAAACGACCCTGCCACATGGCTGAGGAACAATACTCTAGGTATCGGTACCCTTGAGGGTTTCAATTTTGGTCCGATTCGCAATTGGGAAAATAGATAGATTGGATGACCCTTGGAAGTCTGTCTCCGCGTGCGACGACGACGATAATGATAGTGTTGCAACGAGCTTCCACAGGCCTGAATCAGGTTTACCTCGACTACTCTACAAAACTCAAAATCCATCACGCCACGCGGTGCTTCTTCCCCCGTGCCGATGCGACTCTCGTGGCGAGGTTCTAGGGGCAGCCAGTCTAGTATGATGGCGTGTAGTCTCGTCAAACTTTACCAGACAACCGGTATTTCGCCGACTGTCACAACCCAGAAATCAGGACTGCGTGTTGATGGCGCATTGCATGCATGAAGATGCAGCCATGTGGCACAGTTGGTAGTCGAGACGACATCGTATTGAGGAACGGTGCCAAGGTCCGTCTTCGATTTCCTGCTGTCCGGTCTACTTTCCGCATCGCCCCCTTCAACGAGTCAAGCATGCTCCTCAGCCGTTTCCTCTCCGCATCCTTCATACTTACGATCCATTCTGGAGCTGGGGCCGATCCTGCATTGATAGCCTTAAGTCGAGGATATTTCGCCCTCTTTCACGGACCGGCCTCTAGTCAGTCCGTGCAATGTTGCCAAAAAAGCGATCCGTATCATGATCTTGCTGATCTTCGAACTGTTCGTACCTACGACGGGCGCTGGGCTTGAGCTAGTAGCACTAACATTGCTGTACCTTCCCGGATCTCTGTCCATGACAGTTTATTGGGAGACGACTTGCCAGGACCGCGGGTCTGCCTTCGATCGACGTACCTTAATCTCAGCACGAGCTACTAGACATGGTTGGACGGCTACCTAGACGCCAACGTTTAGTCTCGTTCCCTTCTGTAGAGCTCGTGCCGCCATGGCACGCATAGTGTACGCCTACATCCTGGCATATCAAGACGGAGTAAGCTAATCCGGAGACATGGTCTACACTGCTGGATATAGTCTCCTCCGAAGACACTGAAACCAACTTGGCCCGCTCACAACAAGACCTGGCTCACCTATTACGCCATGCATTATAGCACCCAAGTCGTTGGAGAAATTGACTGTTTTAAGGAATTTCCATTGTACCTACTTGAACTGCGCAGCAATCATTTACAGTCCTGACAAGCGCTCAAACTCTATGATCTATCAAGCAAAGTAACGGACGGGTTCGGCTTTTTACTCTAACATGCAGGAGACTATGTATGTCCATGTTTGTTTTGTGGGGCTTTTCACGCCGGAGGACCAACCTTCGCTCGTATGAGTGCTGCTGAATGGCTAGTCTTCATCGATTTTATGATTCGGAACTCCTTCCACCCTTTGCACAGGCCCATGTAACTCCTCTGACGGATGCCGGTCCCTGTCAAGGTCGGATCAACCGCTTGCAAACACTGGCTCACTTGTGTCTAGCGTCGAGCATGTCGCCCCACAGGGGTTGAACATGTATGGAGACGAGATGTACATATGCATAGATGCAGATTGGACACTTGTGGACAGATGATATTAAACAATCTCCTTGATCTCCAGCAAAGCAAATCAGCTCTTATGCGTAGAGGGATCCAGCAACACCAAGCCTTCCAATGTCGACCGCAGGCGCGGATGCAATGGTGCGTCCAAATGAGCAGCAGGGTCCGACTATTCTAGGAGCAACCTTGACGGTCACCATCGCTGCCTTGATCACCATGATCACTCGATTATATGTGAGGATCAAGCTGATCAGGAACGTTGGATGGGATGTAAGATCGTGACGTGAGAAGCAATGTTATACTTGCTAACTGCTACCAGGACTATGTCATGATATCAGCCATGTCTTTTGTAGGAGTTACACAACCTCCCTATGGATCGCATCGTTGACCATTTACAGTGCATCGCAGGGCAAGGCGTCATCATCCCACAGGTCTACTATGGAGCCGGTAAACATATTGAATACATTGATCCATCAGACTTCAGTTTGGCCTTCAAGTTGAACTTCATAAGCCAGCCTCTGTATTTGTTTGCCATTGCTTTGGTGAAGATATCTGTTGGCTTTTTTCTACTACGAATCGCCGTTCAGCATTTCTACAGAAAGCTCATCACTGGCATCATGGGTATGTTCTCACTAACACGTCGCACATAGAAAATGGCACTGATGATATGTTATAGTGTTTATGGTCATCTACACCATTGGTTGTTTCTTCACACTCGTGTTGCAGTGCACAGATCTTCGGGTAATGTGGGATCCAACTGTCAAAGGAACATGTTGGACTGGCACCACTCTCAAGGCCTTGGGCTATACCAACTCAGCGCTGAACATCACCACTGACCTCGCCTTTTCAGTGTTTATACCAGTATGTGTGCTCTCTGATGGCAGTCTAGTACACTAACGTCCATGTGTAGATACCAATGCTTTGGAACATACAAATGAACCGCCGACAAAAAGCTTCTCTCATCGGCATTTTCAGCCTAGGCATCTTCGCCACCGCCGCCGCTCTCGTCAAACTCAGCTATCTCCCCAACTACGGGCGGTCGGGAGACTGGCTCTGGGATTCGCGCAACCTCACCATCTGGACGGTTACCGAATGCAACATGGGAATCGTAGCCGGCAACCTACCCTGCCTAAAGCCCATATTCCGCACGATACTTGGCGCCACATATGGCCGTGGCTCGCGCAAAACCTCACAGCCCTACCTCTCAGGCCCCTATGGGGCTGGTTCCCACCACCGCTCCGCCGCCAAGAACTACGAATCGATTCACTCGGGCCGGACAGAAGAAGGCGACTTCAAAAGCTACGGCCCGCCGGGCGAGGCCTACATGCTCACGACGATTGACGCGAGTCGCCCGTGCGGCGAAAAGCGCGACGATGCTAGCAAGAGCAGCTCTGGCCGCAGTTCTCCCGCGCGCGAAAGCACGGAGAATATCATTCGCTCACCGAGTACGGCGCGGACGTACGGCGGGCCGGGACGGATTGCCGTCACAACGCAGGTGAACATTACGGAATCGATTACTGGGCGGGAGATTGAGGAAGATGGGACGAGGCAGCATCATCGACCTGAGGCTAAACATATGGTTTAAAGTGGGCGTGTGAGAGAGAGAGGAAGATGATGTTTATGACTTTGAGATACCCAACACATATCTATAATTAAAAGATGTATTGTATATTATTCGTTACACCATTGTCATGGGAGGGGAGGACATGTCACGCATATCATATTGCCCACTTGGTTTGCTTTGGAGTCAAGCACCTTTGCTAATCTTGTCACACGCAATGCAGTACACCTGTATGCAACTATCCATCTTACCCTCCCCCATCCATCCTCACACCATCACACATACCTCCATCCAAACCAAACCAACCAACCCAAGGAATGCACCCTCCACCCTCCACCCTCCACCCACACCCACCCCGCAAACCCCCCATTCCAAAAAAAAAGCCCCCTCCCCCCACCCAACACCAACTCACCACTCCGCCCCCCCAAACCCTGGCGATCGATCCACTGTACATAACGATTGGGTAGCCAGGGGGAAATAGGAAGCCGTAACGCGTACATACGGGCCGTCTGGCTTACATGGTATACTTTGTCCTTGTACAATAAAGTAGAATAACGGTATACAAGCTAAGATCTGATTTGCGTGGGAAAAACGGACCGATTGTGTAGGTAGGTACACAGGACGTTGGGTGAGGGAATGAGGGATAAAGGGTAGGTGTTGAGAGTGGTGTTTTGGGGGTAGTGGATTCTCTCTTGTAGTTTAGGTATGTTATGGGAGGGGGATTGGAATGCAAACTGGTACCGATCCTATTCAATGTTCTGATTGATTGAAATGTGTATACACGCAAAAAACAAAACAAAACATGTGCATTGATTGTCTGTTGCGAGTTTGCCAATGCATGCGTCACTGTGAAGATCAATGTTGTGACGAACGAGAGGGGCAAAAGTATGTGTATATGCTCAGCCACAAAATATTCGCGTCTTTACCCTTCCCTCCGCAAAAGATTACCGTGTATCCAATTGACCAATGAGACCAAATCACCTCATGACAATTGTGCGCATTCAGCAGCCTCCCCGCCCCTCCAAACTCTAAAGTATCGTATTACTAATGCGCAATCCTGTGCTGGAGATGTGGTCTTTGATATGCAATAAATTCTCTTCTTCTTCCCCGAATACATGGTTTAACAACGCCGTAAAACACCAGGCGAGATAGATTGCGATTGGCCACAATAAATGATTGTGAAAAAAGCTCCGGTTGCTGTACATGGTTGCGACAAAAACAAATTTAGAGCGCCTGCCTGCCGTCCCGATTTTAGATGATGATTCCCCAAGGAGTGAAAATGTATAGACAGTTGCGAAGCGTAAAAGGAATGCCGTTATCGTAATCGATGTGCTCAAGTGCGTCAGGAGATGCGATGTGGGTGTGTGTGATCTGTATGGGTCTCGACTACCACAGGCCGAAGGCATAGGTGAAGTAGATGAGCGAGCCAATGGTGGTTCCGGTCGTCATCAAGAGTGCACTGATAGTCATCCTCTCGAATTGGGATAGCGCGCCATTGCAGTTTGGACATGTCCAGCCATCTAGTTCATGTAAGCATATTGTAGGTGTAAATTTCTATGGCTGTGTGACTTACCATGGTAGTCCACGTACGGCTGCGGTGTGTACATGCCAAAGGTGAGGCCGCTGAATGGTGCTAGGTAACCAGCTTGAGGAGCCGCGCTGACGCTGGAATTGGAGTCGTAGATCAAAAGGGTGTACTTGTTGGTCAAGAAGGGTGCCTGGCCTTCTGGCGTCTCCCCCGTGTTCCAGAAGACTTCGGTCTCCGAGGCAGACATATTCACGGCAATGGTGTAGGTAGCCTGGTTTGCAGTGCATGTGGCCATGACATCAATGTTTTTTGGCGTTACGGAGAGCGAAGTGAAATTCCAAGCAAACGTCACCCAGTCGCCGACCTTGTAAAATGGCTCGCCAAGGGTGGCAGCTGGCGTAATCATTGAAACACCTCCAGCGGGCAGGCGTGGGTCGAAACTCGTAGGCTTTGGTCGACCGGTTCTGCTGCTTTGGGGACGGTCACTCTTCTCTGCCGGTCTGTCACCGTTGTTGTTGTTGTTATTGTTGTTTTGGTTTTGGTCTTGGTTCTGGTCTTTGTTCTGGTCTTTGTTCTGGTCTTGGTTTTGGTTTTGGTTTTGGTCTTGGTTGTTGTTATTATTGTTATTGTTGTTGTTCTCTGGTGGTGTTGTGGCTTGGGGACGTTGTGGCTCTTCGTTGTTATTGTTGTTATCTGGAAAGGATCGTTAATAATTCAGCCCTGGATCCAGCTGGGGGACATGAACCTACTCTCATTGTTGTTCTGTCGGCCGAGTAGAATCTCCTTGACGTTTGACAGTCCGTTGATATTGCCCAATACATCCGACACCTGCATGGCATTCGTGACGGATGACATGGCCACGACGGCGGCGAGGATTTGTGACGGCCTCATGATGTCGACCGAGGTATACGCGAGTGTGCGGATTGCGGTGCAGTGCAGGCCAGGTGTAGGCCTCTAAATGAGGATATGCGGAGAGGTAGGAGGGTGGGCTGAGCGGGTCGTGGGGTCAGGCAATGCAGCGAGCGAGGATTGTTGGTGTTCCCGGGCGGGTATCAACAAGCCGAGTGTGGTACGCGAGCCAAAAACGATGATGGTGATGATGCAGGCAAAAGTCGAGTGCACTCCTCCGTCGATTAACGAGCGACTGGCGAAGGAATAGGATGAGAAGCGAAGATGGGGGGCGACAACGAGAGGCGAGGGCGATGGGATTTACGGCACGGTGTGGTGTTTGAGCTGAAAGGAGGAGGCTTGAAAGTGGATGGGATGGGTGGAAAACTGCCAGTCCAGGGGGGGGCGCATCCACACTTTGCCCAACTCAGCCCGTCCGGAATGGGGCGCCACCCCCCCAAAGCCAAAAGCGCTATATTTAACTACTTTTAGCTTCTGGGCGTCCATTGGGAAAACGTGATCATCGTCATGCGCGTCGCATCTCTCTTATTGCTTCGAGAATATTCAACGGCCTGTGTAGTAAGTAGTAGGCTTCTACTCCTCTTCATGTACCATGTCTTTTCTGCCACAGCATGGCTGGCCTGCTTTGTCATGTGTGCTCGACCCTATCTGGTACACCACATGTCAGGTCATGCCTTCGCGTAGACTTTGTTCGTGTCTATCGTGCACCTTGATTGCTCGTAATTTGCAGTCGAACCTCATACTCAAGCTCCATACCTGACAAGCCTGCTACTATACAAAGTTTCTGCCTCACGAGGCCTCGACTTTCCCACCCTAGGATAGTACAACGCAGACTGAAGCTTTCTGTCAGCCCATCGAGATAGGCTACCTGACAAGTGGATCCTTCGACAAAGTGCGCTGTGGACCCTGCATGCGCCCCAAAGATGGCCAGTTTATGTGTGGGTCGTCCGTCTACTGTGTATGTACATCGTAAATATGGTACCTACTATGTAGACTACTCGTACCGAATACTCGCTCTTTAGCTTGACGTTCCAGTCTTACACATGGATTACCCATTGAACGCCTACCGGTACTACCCCATACGCGTCCTCTCCAGTAGACTTGGCGTGGACTAGCGCCTTCACCACCACTCCGATGCAGCCTGTCCCCAACAAACCACTATCCATCTGGGCACACCCTCAACCACCAAGTGAATAGTAACCGAAACCTGCAAACACAATGTCATCAGCAGCACAATCCGTCCAAACCCTTCTCCGCTTCCTCTCCCAAGACGCCAAACTCCCCCTCGCACAAGCCATAGCCAAAGCCAAAGACCTCCAAGCTGCCTCTCTCATCACGTGAACACGCATCCCTCCCCCCACGCGCCGATCGGCCAACCCCACTAACACGCGACCCAGTCCATCCGATCTCTCCAAAGCCGACCTCCCCACCCTCAAATCCATCTTCGCCGATGACGAAAAAGTCGCGCGCCAAGTCCTCAATGCCGCCAAACGCGTGTGCAAGAAACGCTCGGCCAGCGAAGCAACGGCGTCTGATGCCGGTACCCCACTACTCGCAGTAGCAGCAGCAGCACCCTCATCCAAGAAAATCAAGCCCTTGTTCAGCGATCCCATGAACGCCTCTGAACTAGAAGCCTCGCTCGCCTTGCCCGCCCCAGAGCTGGACGAAGAGAAACTCAAGGCCACTACGCTGTACACCAATCGCGCACCCCTAGTCCTCGCCTTTGCTGTTGTACTCACCAAGTTCACGATGCCGCAGCAGCCGCTGTCGAGTAGGCTGAGTCTGGCGCAGGCGGTCACGTCGATGAATAGTAAGAGTAAAGCAGTCAGTATTGGCCTTCAGGGGGGCAGAGCCGCAGAGGACGAGGGCTGGGGCGAGGGACAGCCCGTGGTGAGGATTATGACGAGAGATGTGCGGGTGATGAAGAGGTGGGGGTATGAGTGGGAGAGTGCAGACACTGCTGTAGAGAGTACGCAGGCTGCTGTCAAGCAGGACAATACACTCCAAGATACCCCAACCGTTTCCCCCAACACAGCCCCGTCATCGCAAGACACGCTGGCCCAGCAGCCACCAGCAAAAGAACCAGCACTGTGGGCCATCGATCTCGAGGCGCGCAGGAGAGCTAGTCAGACCGCCTCTCCGCAGCCGCCAGGCAGTCAGTTGCCGATTTATTCAGCCCAGTCTGCACGCGCCTATCTCCTCAAGGCTTTTGAATCTGCCCCGGCCCCATCGACCGCGCACGTCAAGGGCAAAGGGGGAACGCCGGCAAAACGGACAGCGGCAGTCGTGGCAGCAGAGAAGAAAAGGAATCTGGGGTTCCTGCTCGGTGCGCTGGAGCTGTTGTTTCGGTCGTGGGCGGTGCTGGATAGAGAGGAGTTGGATAGGAAAGCTTGGGGCTGCTATGTACGCGTGAGGCCAGAGGTTGCAGCTGGGGCAGCAGGATGGGGAGGCAAGGGAAATGTGAAATTGAGTGATATATTGGCATTGAGACGAGCATAGTTGCACAAACCATCGTCGCCCTATCCTGCATGTGTGTAAGCAAGAAGAGAGCAGGACTCCCCCATGTCTACAATTTAAACTCTGAGTTGCTGACTTCCCAACCCACCCCCCCTCCATCATTCCGACGAGCCAGACTTTCCGCCAACGCCACCTTCTTCTCCCTGCTCCTCTCCGTGCATAGCTCGTATACGGTAGATAGGTTGAGTACGAGAGAGTGAAAGGGCGGGCTTTCGGCGACCAAAGTACTCAACAAGTCTCTGGCCTCCTGTATATGTCCAGTGTACAGTAAGCAGACTGCGAGGTTCTGCGCCACCATGGCATCCTCGGGTATCTTTTCGTGCAGCTGACGGAACGAAGAGGCGGCGGCCTCGTAATTAGACTCTGCGAGCTGGACGAGCGCCTGTAGCGTGCCGTCGATGAGTTCGTCGGGGGATTGTGACGTCGCTTGGGAAAGGCAGCGACGGGCTGCCTGGATGTCGCCGACGCGCAGCCAGACGAGCGTTTCCATGAGCAATATCTCTCTTGCCTCGGTCGTGTTGGCAGTCTCTTGGGAGCTGGCCAGTGTGCTTAGGTGTCGTCCAGCGCCTTCAAGGTCTCCCATCTCCACGAGTACATTTGCAACACGTATCCCGCAGTCACGGAGCCGAGCTCGCCAGAGCTTCTTGTCTTCTTCTGTCGTGGCTTTGATGATGTTCTCTCTGCATTCGCGGGCGAGCTCATAGTATCCCATGATGCCCTTGCGCCATTCGCCATAGCCCAGTGCAGAGAGACGCACAACGAGGAGGCGCAGGTGCCATGGCACGAGATGCGCATTCGTCAGGGGGTGTCTCCAGAAGGCGCTGTTCAAGTCGCCGAGCACTTTGCTCTCTTGGGCCGCTAGTTGGTGTTCGTGGAGGAGACAGAGACATGCCAGACGGACATGGACGAGGTGGAGGAGTGTTTCGTAGTCGCCAGGCGAGGCTGCGGTGACGATGTTGCGTGCGGCGGCAATGGCAGCTAGGCGATAGTGGCCCGAGAGCAGGAGGCTGTCAACGGGCGAGGAGATGGGGGGCGTGTGAGGTGCATTGAGAAAGGCGGGCGGGAGGTTGGTTACGGGAAGGACGTGGTAGGCAGCGGCATCTTGGAGGAAGCTGAAGTCCTTGGGGGGCATATCCTCGATGACACGGCCACTGGACCCATGGCGAGGATGCGGGGCAAGCGGGGGAGCGACGCGAGCTGGGGTCACGGTGCGTGATGGCAGGCTGCCGGTTGGTGTGCTGGCTGACAGAGGGCTGCCATGGTGGTGGTGGTGGTCATGTTCGTCAGCCAACTTTCCGGATGATGAGGATTGCGTACGGGATGCAGACTCAGGCTACGACAATGCGCGGCCGACTGGAAACAAGGACATGTGGATGAGATCGGGGGCAAACCTACTCGTCGACGGGCATGTCATCGTCGAGAGGCCCTCGTGTTGTGCGCCGGGCAAGAGCGACTAGGGATTTGGGTCAGCCCTGAAGGAGTGGGGGGGGAAAGAGGCTCCAGCAGCAGCTTCCACGGTGGCAAGAGGGTGCTGCTTTTGGCTCTGCTTGGCTGCTCACCCCGTCGTCTGTCATCGCCGCTTGCGACACGGCCATGGTTACTGGGGGCGCGTTCATCTCGAGAGGGAACTTGCATGGCGGGCTACTTCTACTCCTACCTACTCATAGAGTACTGTTGCAACAATACTAGAACACGCTGACCTTGGCCGACCTTGTCAGTCCAAAAATATGCAAACGGCTCCGATCTCGGCCGTTCCCCTCGACGTGTGGGGAAGCGTCGGCCAATCAAAAATCCCTGTCCGCCCGCGACTCCACCCGATTTTCCTGCCTTTCCCTCCCCTCCCCTCCCACCTTGGCCCGCCAACGACTCAATAAGGCGGACTGGACATACTATTTGACTGATTTGACTCTTACATGCGCTAACGCTCTCTCTCGGTCGCTTTTTATGACACCTCCCACCTTTGCTCCTCCTCTTTTTTTTTTCTTTCGCTGCTTCCATCCTATCTCTCTCTCCCTCTCTCTCCCCCTCCCCCTCTTCTCGATTTAATCTGTCCGGTCCTGCGTTGACGACGCCTTTTTTTTTTTTCGGGCCCACGATGCAGCAGTCACGCACGCGCGCCATTCAGGCCCTCAAAGGCGCCCGCAGCTTCTCCACGTCCGTACAACGACCCGCCCTGTCGCCCTACCGCCGGCCAGCGCAGGCCGTCTCCGCCAAAGTTCCCAAGGAAGATGCAAAGAGGCCCCAGAGTACCGCCGCCGCAGCCACAGCCACACAACCGGCGCGCCCAAGGCCTTCGCCAGCCTTCAATCGCGAGGACCATAATGATGTCCAGCCATTGAAGCCCTAC